TTTTGCTCGCTAGAATCGCTGGCCATGGTGACATTTGAGGAGGAAGTCGAAGATGACATTTAGAGTTAAAAACCGAGGTAGGAGGAATAATAGGAATCGAAGAGGGTAATCGATTATGAATAAAGAGGTACATAGCCTGTCGTATGCCCAGATGGTGATCTCGTGACTTTCAGGTTGCCTGACCTATCAAAGGCGATGGGACAGTGCATGATGGTATTGTTGTGTACTAGGTTCAAAGAGAATTGTATGCTATATAAATGTGCCCCCCTGTTATTGTAGCCCCCGAATGCTCTCATATGGCCACACATATACAGCCACTGTCCTACTCACCGCCTTCTTGTGGCGGGAGTGTTGTTTACGAAATGGAAAGGACGAAAAGCGAATGCTCAGCGCTTTAACCGGTTTGGTGGATATGGAGGATCCACCTAAAGGAGTTGGAAAACCCTGATTCCAAATCAATGGTGCACATGCGCTCCAGGTTCTTGAGGGAACAAATGGCGTATGAACCTATTGTTGGTCACCGGCTACCATGGAACTGAGTCTCCTGACGTTGCACCACTGCTTTGTAGATCAGACCTTTAGGTCGAAGGCTCCGGGCGTGGCCCCCTAAGGAAACCACTTGCTTCGGTCTGGCACCCAGGCAGTATCACAGCCCACACACAAATCAAGTGACTTGTGTAGCACATATGTATCCGATGCCCCTTTGTACCAATATTTATGTTTTCAAATAAATAAATAGTGGTTTTGAGTGCTGTTAGAGGTATAAGGGCGGTTACTACTTTACGGTTGCCCACACTGTGAAAGGGTTCTTCGAGAGGTACCTGAAAAAAAATGAGTTGGTATAAGTGACCTGAGAGCGTAACTGCAGTGTCCAAGCGACAATTGCTTGAGGCCAGTCACACGCAACCATTTTGTGGGCAATTTTTGTGTTAGCTCCGTACTTGTTGAGACCTAATGGGATAAGATGAGGTGTGCATTCTTAGTGTCGACCTTTTCTAACCCCACATTTCCTTTGTGGGAAGGTAGCATCACTGTTATGCTGGTTGTCTAAAGGAAACACCTTACTGCTGTCACACCTCTGTACAGTTAGCAGTACAACTTCGCCCTCGGACTATGGGTTTGCTGCATATAGTTTTACGGTCATTCAACTGACCTGCTTGGCATGGTAGGACCTTGAGTAACGATTGTTCCATACAGTACAGCCCGATTGGTTCATCACGAAAGGCAAGCTAAACCACCACGTCAAGGTAGCAGCAACGGTCGGTATATATATATATATATATATATAGTACCGTTTTAAAAATTATTAGTAGAGTATGTTTGAAACTACTAATCTGATGCATTAAAACCATCCAGGTATGAAATAAATATACAATGAAAAAGAATCTATGAACGAAACTGAATTATTAAAAAGTCATCCAAATATAATTGTGGACTGAATGTAACTTGTTCATGACTTAACTACCCAAGTAGGACCTAATTAAATAGCATAACACCAACTATAATTAGCCAACTCAAACAAAATAATCACTCTTCTAACCGATAAGTACAGAAAAAATATCAACTAAATAATAAGTAGACATGACTTAATCCGTTGTTAAATTAGAACCAAGTAAATCTAAAAAGTTTATAAGTAATTAAAATAGGGTGAAAAATATGAATAATTAACAGTTGGTAATTTTTGAACTGACGTCATGTTTGTGTCGTAACACTTTGGTACATTTTGCAAACAACCTGAAATTTAGTTCCAACTGTTACAAATTGACAAAAGAATAATTATTATTAACTCGGTCAAACTTTTTTCTAATATCACCAAATTTACCAGTTCAACAGAAAATAACAAATGCTACGTCCTAATCTTATAAGAATTTGAAATACTAGTTAAAAGACGTGTATCAGTAATGGAAAATTAATTAATTCTTGTAGTGGGATCCGAAAAAAAAGAAAGCGCTTCATAAAAAGTATCGTTTCAATTAGAAAACTCCCTTTTGTGGACGTAAACGGAGAGTTGTGCCTACATTTTAAAATTGCAGAATAAAGGAGTAAGATAAAAATAAATACTCACAGTCATCTTGACCGGATGAAATTGAAGACAAAGAGGGATGTTGATTTTGATGATAGGCTCGTTTGTCAATTAGGACACTAGAACGACGTTTCTCTCGACTTTTATAGCTTGAAGTACTATCACTGTTAGTCAGGCTTCCAGCTGGTACTAAACGAGACCCAGGTGAACAAAGTTTAGGCAGGTCATTAGTCGATACGTCACCAGAATCAATGCTATCAAATGCTTTTAGAGTAACTTGACTAGAAGTGAAAGCAAGTTGATCTGACTGTGAAGGATTAGTATTATTTGATCCACGTTCTTCAACGTTACATTTATTACTTGTTGATTCCGACATAACAATTTCTTATGTATTAAGTAAAAAACGCTAGGAATTTTTTTTGTTAAAGTCAATAAATGCCGCTAATGAAATAAAGAAAAAAGAACTACTTCTGTTAACCAAAATTTGTGTGTGTTTACATCTATGCTTATTATTTATGGGTGTATTTTCCAAAAATGATGAAAAAGTGAGACAGACATGTGTTTTGTTGGTCGGATAAAATTTCCTGAATGGTCAAAAATTAAATGAAAAGAGGTTAGTTTGATTTTATATCTTCTAACATTGGAGATTTAGATGCAGCCAATAAGAGGTAGAAACAGGAAACTAGTAAATGAAGTGGTAAAAATTTAATTAATTAAATTTGCTGTAGAAGTGTGTGAGGATAGTTACACAAACAAAAACCATATAGCAGCGTGTATACTCAAATGAAACTTGTCTGCACGGAGAGCATCAGCACATGAATAGCAATATAAAACCAAGCTCAAGAAAAATAAATCATTGGATGGTAAGTATTTCTAAGCGGCTTTAAAATATATTACTGAGTAAACAGGTCAACATTCATACCATTAATAAGCACAAAAGACGTAAATTTTATACCGGGGTATATGTATGGTACTAAATTAGGACTAATTATCAAATTAAAAAGTCAATTTATAATTTTTGATGATTCACTATTTCCTGTTGAGAAAATAGCGTAACAAGATTACAGATATGAAAATGTCAAAACAATGAACAACCTACAAAATTTGCTATTTGATTTACTAAAAATGGAAATCATATTTCAGTGTTAAACTAACCATAAGTTTTTAACTGACTGTAGACCTAATACTTGCATACAAAAGCTCAGAGGTACGTTGGATAGGTCTTTTCAAAGACATTAGATGCACTAACAAGAAACGCGCGATACAGTTATTTGTGCCCTTTTTAACAAGTATTGTACACTTTCTAATCCATACACTACGAAAGTGGTCAACAGACAGTCATTAACGTAGAGCCTGGCACGAATGTTCGTTCATCTAAGTTCCCATATCGTATAAGAAGACGAGGTGGACTTGACAAGATAAATGGCGAAGAACCAGAATTGCTATATTAGCAATGATAACCAGATAGTATTAAAAATATAGTTCTAAAAGACAGAGTGGAAGAATATGTATAAATGGATACTACATATTAAAAAAAAACAAGAAAACACAGAGTGCATGAATCTGGAACATTCCAAGCAATTCTGAGTCATCACAAAATTTTTCAACCACCGATTCAAGTTACCGTGTAGATGTCAACCAGGTAGTCTGCATCCACCAATATAACTCAGACGAACAGTCAATTACTTTGGCTGACGATAGGCCTTGGTTTAGCTACGCCCAGGCAATATTCATCAACATCAACAAACGTTGGTAGAGGTAGGTGGTGGTAAGACACGTTTCAACCACCTTAGTCGATCAAGATCTACAACCGCAATCATCTTTACCTAGTGCCTAATGTCTAACCTCCACATTATTTATTCGGTCATTCCACAAAACGCGACCAACGCCATGAAGATACTTACGATTACAAGCCTACAACCTACGTAAGTCTTCTACTTTTAAAGACCATACTTCACACCCATACGGTTATACAAAACAGACTGAAACACAATAACTTCATCTGTTATTTGACGTGTAGAAATATCGTCCACTCTACAAGTAACGCAATTCCAAATCACTCTTCAAATTTTCCTTAGTCCAATAGATGATGTGGGACAACAAAAGCCGATGCATATCACCACCACTCCTGAAATGTTTTTATTATAGCTGGGTGACAGTCGTTTGTTAATCAGCCTTTTCCTGAAGACTGACATAACAATCGTTCCATTATGAAACGATAAACAGTAGAAATCAGCAATATCTTGAGAAACAACTCACGCAGTTTTACGACAAGAAATTTGATTTTTTAAAAATTCATGAAATTAGGTGGGTTAATGTTGATTATTTAGTGGTCATACAACAGTTTTGGTGGAAGTTACTTGAGCAATAGATCAACTAAATTGTCTTTCGAAGTTATAAACCCAGTGTTTCAATTGTGTCTGAAGATCAATAATTGTTCAAAAGTCAATCTCAAAGTTTACGTCACGAAACTCAAGTTACTCGCTACCAATGGCTTAGACGTGCTTTTATTTATTTATTTGAACGCATAAATATTGGTACAAGAGAGCGCCAATATATATGCGCCACACGTGCTCGAACAGCCTTACTATTTTCAAATCAAAAGTAAATTCCGATCGCCAGGTTTTATAGTCCATATGTATGCCTCATGAAATTCTATGATTAAGTGATAATCCACACAATCCACCAGGCCAAACCGACAGAAATAGAAACGTTATAAAGAGTTCAAAACTTAATTTTCAAAGCGAAACGATTCGTGAAGCTGCAATCGAGTTTACTACGGTATCGTTTAAGTGAAACCGATTCTTATTTGCGCTTCATGAAAAATGACAGCTGGCCTTCAACTGATTTCAATCCAACATTTACGTGGTAGGTGGGTTGAAATCCCTCATAACTTACTGGAATTCTGGATAAGGGATTTTGGGCCGAGTCAGTAGATGTAAACTACCGAGTTAATCATAACTCGAAGTCGCTAATGTTGTGACATAACTAATGTCAGTTACAGTAGCAAAGACAAATTTATTTTCTATTTCTTTTTAAAATATAAGCTTGATTTCACTTCATATTTCTTATTCTTAGTTTTGTTGCTTTTGAACATTATTTCAAATGTACGCTTATCGCAATGACTGATAGTTTTCACTTTCTTGACCCCTCACATTGATAATTTCCTCCTTCGATGTGCTGCGTAGTGCAGCGAATTGAACCAAAATAGTCGTACCAGGTCTACTGCTATATATGACTCATTGACCAAAACTTAACTGTGCTATGTCGAAAACATTTACCACACAACCGTTGGTTGTTACAAATAGACCTATGAGGAGCTAAAAAGGTACCAGTTTAATGACGTGCACAAAATGACAGCCTTTTTGTTTATCATGACAGATTGCGGAGTCTTTAGGCAGTGGACGGTGTGAAAACAGCTAGGATTTCAAATATGGTTAGTTACTTGTCAATTGAACAAAAGTGGGATTTACTTAAAGGGCTGTATTATTTCCGCGCTTAAAAATCCACCCAACAAATGATCTTCATTTTTATCTACTTACTACACCTGACAATTCCGATACAACAGGGGATCGAAATAATTCCCCACACAAAATGAACTGGTAATATTATGGAGATGTAGAAGGAAAAGGCTGTATACTAAATAAACAAATAAATATATCAAGCATAGAAAATGGATGAAATTGATTCTTTAGGGATAAATGAGTAGTGTATGTCAACAAAACCAAACATGAGAAACAAGGACAGTGTTTTTAGCATGCAGTCCCAACGTCTAGATAATGCATTCTCATAAATAAAAGGTTGCTAACATTTATCATATGGTTCGATCAGTTTTAAGTGTAAAAAACGTTCAGTAGTTTGGAAATGAAAAGACAAATAAAGGCATTGATCGATCAGGGATTGTTTACAAACATCCAATAGAAAAGTCGGAAATCAATAGTACCGATGATCTTAAACAGTAGCTTATTTTAATATGAAAAACGTGGCTAAGCACCAAAAGAAGACGATTAGAATACATACAGTCAAATAGCCACATAGTACTTTGACCAGTGGATTCCGGTTTAAAAAATGACTACGACTACATAAATCATGACTCATAAGCTTTTACTATGATCAGATGTGCTTATCTTTCATGTTCATTCTGATTATAAACATCTTATGAGCCAATAACTTAATGACATCCATTCACTATTTTCGCCTAACTTAGTTTCGCTGTTGTTATCGACCTTAAGTTCTCGTGCTATAAATTGCGAAACATTAGGCGAAAGTACAGTTTAGGGGCGAACTAATCAGAACCAAGAATGCGACTATCACGTTAGCAAGTATGACAAGCAGTAAAAATAGTTTTCTATAGTGCTCAGAAAATCTAAAATGGTGACGAAAAACTATTTCCGCTACAATGGAGTAAACGTGATATTATTAAACATACTAAATGTTCAATCCCTTTTCAGTATATTTTATATAGCAAGCAAATAAATACCATTCTTAAATTTCAATCTTGGTTCAAAAATAAACATCGACCTATCAGCATTATAGTTTATGGACGAACTAATTATAGTGCCTTTTAAGATTTTCATAGCTATGCAACTACAAAGCAGTTTTTTGCATTATAACTGATTTCAGCCGATGGTGAAAATCCAAAATTGAACCTTTCAATCCTAACCCTAAATCCGAAAGCCTAACCAAGAATAGTATGAGAACTCCTAAAAAATAACCTTGGTCTTCATAGGGATTCGATAAAGCGAGTGATTTGTCTATATAAGCGGATTTGTATGTCGTTTCTTAGATTCACAAGCAGAGCAACCGTTAGAGGACTTTAATAGATTCGCTATGTCGAAACTGTTTGCACGTTCTAATATTGTTTTTCGATTATCTAAACAAATCCGTCAGTTATTTTAATTTCGTCCTAATACCATACTCGTACAAAAAATTGAACTGGTACGACTGTCCCAAGCTGTATGTATATTATTACGCAGATAACTAATAAACAACCAGCTACAAATGATCATACTACGTTAGATCAATATTTCTGAATAGTGACACGATGAAAAACAATTATTTTTATATCTATGTGAACAAGAAAGAGTATAACTCCCACATATTTCCATTTCGAGACTAATTTGACTTCTGAAAAATCAAATCAGACTACCAAACTAAAACCCCACGTAATATCATCATGCTTTCCTCTGTTCTTATTGAGTATTTTCATATGCATTACTGTATACTCACGTCTATGGTAGCTTAGTATGCTAACTTTATCACCGTATGGTAGGATAACGTGAAGTCGTGGTCATTTTGTAATAATACGTTAACATTTCAGATTCAGATTTGTGTAGTAAGGACAGAAGGCCTACGGCCTATGTTATTCCTTTTCTAGTATGCTTCTGTGAGTGTCCAGTCTTCTCTTGAAAGAGTCAATTGAAGGTGCCGATACCACTGCTTCAGGCAGCAGGTTCCAAGTATTGATGACTCGGTGTGAAAACCTGTATGCCAGAGGTATTTTGTTCGTTCTTGGCTTTTCTACTCGCCTACTATGTCCTCTGAGGTGTCCCGATCTAGTGGGAAGAAAGAGAGAGAATAAGTTAGGTCCGAAATCATTTCTCAGTATTCTGTACATCAATATTAGATCTCCCCTTAGTCTGCGATAGGACAGAGTAAAGAGGTTCAGTTTTTCAAGCCGCTCTTCATATGATAAACCCCGGAGTTCCGGAATCGCACGCGTAGCTGCCCTCTGTACCTTTTCTAGTATGTCTGAGTCACCTTTTAAACAGGGGCTTGCAGCCTGAACACAGTTCTCTAACTTAGTTCTCACTAAGGATGTGTATAATGTGGTGAACATGGTAGTATCAAGCTTAGTGAATGTCCTTTTTAAAGCCCAGAGGGTTCGAAACCCCTTAACTGCGACCTCCCGGCAATGGGCCGTCGTCTTAAGATCATTGCTCACGGTCACCCCTAGGTCCTTATGAGACCGGACTACGGGTAATGACACATCTCCTATGTTGTACGTATTAACCTTTGAATCCCCCAAGTGCATGTAGACACACTTTTCCGAGTTGATAGGCATTAGCCACTCTTTAGACCAGTTTATCATATTATTTAAGTCCGCCTGAAGAGTAAATGTGTCTGTGTCTCCAGTTATTACTCGCCAAATTTTTACATCGTCAGCGTATAATAACATTGGAGACTGTACTATACTTGTAAGATCATTAACGTACATTATAAAAAGTAAAGGACCTAGGACGGAACCTTGGGGTACTCCACTAAGTACTGGTCTCCAGATGGAGCACTTGGAATTTATTCTTACTTTTTGTCTACGACCTACTAGGAAATCCTTAATCCATTTTAAAAGAGGTCCGGCAATACCAAGGTTTGCCAACTTCAATAGCAGTCTATTAGTTGGCACCTTGTCAAAAGCCTTACTGAAGTCTATGTAGACAACATCCACTGAGTTTCCGTTGTCTAGCGCATTAATCCAGAGCTCCCTAGCTATAAGGAGGTTCGTTGTACAGGATAGACCCTTTCTAAAACCATGTTGTGCCATGTTCAGCAAGTTATTGGTTTCCATAAATGCTGTTATGGTCCGTTTGATTATCCTTTCCAGTATTTTAATAACAACACTGGTGAGGCTTACGGGTCTGTAATTTGATGGAACTTGTCGTAGACCAGTTTTATGTATGGGAGTGACGATTGCGTCCTTCCAGTCCATAGGTAACACACCTTGGTCAAGTGACATTTTGAATATCACAGTCAGTGGGGCTGCGATATATTCGGCAATATGTCTCAAGATTTTAGGGTGTAGTTCATCTGGTCCTGTTGACTTCTCCGTGTTTAGGGTGCTAAGAGCCTTAAGCACATCGTTTTGGTCGAAGTCCACGGTGAGCAGCTGGTTTGTTGACTCTGTAATTGGGTCTGGTTCTTTCTCTAGAGGAGGTTCCTGAGTGAAAACTGCCCCAAAGTAGTCAGCCATAATCTCAGCTTTTTCCTGATCTTCCTCTATCATTTCAGATTCACTTCCTACTTTAATTAGGTTGGGAATCCAGTGATGAGTCCTTGTTCTGTAGTTTATGTACGAGAATATCCTCTTGGGCTGCTTGAGTGCAGATTCTGCCAGCTGCATTTCGTATTTTCTTTGCGCTTCCCGAATTTTCGTTATACACACGTTTCTTATCGATCTGTAGTGTTCCATCGTATCTGCTGTGCCAAGGCGGATGGCAACATCCCAGCATTTCTTCTTTTGTCTTAGTAAGCGTCGAATATCCCGCCCTAACCAGGGATGTCCGTGCTTCTTTTTCTTTGGGACAGTCCAGGGTATATATGGTTGAGTTACCCGATTGTATAACTGTCTGAATAGAGTCCATGCCTCTTGTACTGATGCCTTTGAGTCAATTTCCCAGTTCTCAGCCGATGCTGCGGAGTCAATTGCCTGCATATCTGCCTTCCATATGTTAGGACGGGCCGGCGCGATTGTTTGAGAAGCAATTTCAGCCATGAATTTGAATAAGATGACTGCATGGTCACTTCTCCCAAGTGGTTGGAGAAAAGCCGTTTGACCAACGTCCTCACCGTGTGTGAAGACTAAATCTAAAAGAGAGGAAGAGTTTCTTAAGTCGTATCTTGTGGGATCTCTAATGTGTTGGAATAATGCTAGTCCAATCGAGGTTTCTAACAGTTTGGAGTCGAACGACGATATAGATGACTCTACTTCTAAGTTAACCCAGTTTATATATGGTGCATTAAAGTCGCCTACTACAAGGCTTTTACCGTTGTTACACCAGGACTTAAGTTTACTGAGGAGAAAATCGTCTGCTACACATTCTGGACTGCGATAAACTACAACTAATTCAATATCTTGCCTTCGGCATTTCAACTTACATCTCACCAGTTCACATGTCCCTGAAACATGTGCTACTGTCTCAGCTAATCTTATGGTTAGGGTACTTTTCGTGTACACAATAACCCCGCCTCCCCTTCGGTTTAATCTATCAGCCCTACTGGTTATGAAACCAGTCAATTGGATTTCACTATCTAATACTTCTGACGTTAACCAAGTTTCCGAGACAGCGATAACGTCCGGTTTTTCTTTATCCACCACTGACTTCAGCTCCGCCATTTTATTTAGTAGGCTGCGAGCATTTGTGTAGCACACTTTTAAGTCTGTGGAGAGCTTTCCCTTGCCACCCAGAGTGGCTTTGGGATCGTTTTGCTCCGAACTTTTACAATCTGAAAACCCTTAAGAACGAGGTTTCTTTCACCGTTTCGGCGACGCTCGTTTATTTCCGCTTCTGCAGCCCTTCTCTTAATACGATCAGCTAGGCTGAGGTCCTCACGGACATATATTCCGGACCCAATCAATCATTTGAGAAAAATAAAGTAGTAAATACAAACAAATTCTAATAGATCACTTTGATAGCCATTTTTCAGTTTACAAGGAGTAATGAAACGAATCTTGTGAAAGTATTAAACCTTTTATGAAGACCGGGTTTTATTTTACATGAAAATAACAATATCGCAGTTTCCAATATATATTGAGACTCATAACTGAGAAAATTGTGCAAAGCGCAGCAATATTACAGCCAAAAAAATTAGTTTAGGCAAAACTTAAGAAAAACAAAGTAGACAAGTGAAATAGACGTTCATAATACGGACCTATTATAAACACAATTGCTGACATTTAGAGAACCATAAGTACACGTTTCAATAAAACGGGATAGTAGTTTTGTTACATTAAATAGCTAATTAGTAAAAAAATAATTTTCTTAAAAATACCTGAGTCGAAGCTTCCGGTTTCTGAGTTTGATTTACTAGACAATCTTTTCTTAGCTGATGATAATATGAGACGCGAATCCTAAGCAAAAACTCGTGATGAAAATATCACCAACTTACCTTCGTTTGCTCCTCATAGCCAGAATTACATCCTCTAGAGTGTATTGGAGTGGATGACACTTCCAGTACCTTGTCCACGTTCTTCATCTGTACACTACTCATTATCACGCGATGTGACTGTCATCCGGAAATCCCGCCAACGCAGCGACCTTCGAAAATTTCAAATGGTTCAAATAATTATGAACGGAATACAAACTTTTGATAACGGGCTTCCGTATCCAGTAGCAGTGGATTACAGATGCCTCTAGATAAGAACCTAGGTGTATTTGACGATAAATAGAAAGAAAGAATTAGTAAATTATGATGAGATACTATCCTTGGTCCTTAAGAATATATCTGGGTTGCTTTCAAAGGACCCCTGGAAGGTCGCTCGGGCTATGTCAGTCGGCATCTAATTCCAACATTTGACTGCTCTAGAGGAGTAGAAGGTGTGCCCACAATCCGTTCTTCTGAGTTGTGTCTCCAGTTTATGGATGTTCCCGCTAAGTTTTGTGTTTAAGGGAATGCCCAGAACTGTTTAGGATGCTACAAGCCATTGAAAGATCACCTTCAAAGACGAGTATAACTATTGGAGATTATCGAGAAAGTTCTTCCATTGAAGTGGTTGAAAATTTGTTTCAAAGTTTTGCTCGTAGAGCATTTTTGTCACAGTTAGCGTAAGACTTCAAATCGTAGGGTACCAACACTTCTATATTTTTTAAAATTTCATATACTTCTAGAAGAGAGTTACTCAAGTCGCATTTGTAGCCTGTAGCATGTCCCATATAGGCTACTTTATACTTTAGAGTGTTAAGGTTAAGTCCATTGTTGTCCGCCTAACTGTGAGGTCGAGTAAGATCCTCCCTAAATACCAGTTCATCATCTTGGCCGCAAACACCTCTCCCGAGTTTCACAACAACAGTAAAAAGCAATAAATATGACGATGTCTGCTGTGGAATAACTCAAGAAAAAGAGCGGTCCTAGCACTGAGCCCTGGAAGCCCCCAACAGGACATTCCGCAGCCTGAGAATGTGAATTTTACCCTGGCCTCGGTTAGATATAAAGAAAGCCAATCAACTAAATATAATGTGACACCTAACCGTTTGAGCTCATTCATAGGACATATATGATTAATCCTATCAAAGACTTTTGAGAATTCAAGGAACATGACGTCGAACTTCTCTCTGTCATCAAGGATCTTTATCCATCTGTCTATTGTGACTAGCCAGTTGTCTATAAAAGATTAACCCTTCCTAAAACCGTGCTGTTGGTGTGAGAAGGAATTTATGAATAGTAAGTAGTCACGCAGATCGCTGCACATCAGGGACTCCACAATTTGTGAGGGTTTTAAGAGGAGTGCTATCAGTCGGTAGCTCTGTATCGACCTCTTTTGGGCCAGTTTCTAATTTCTTAGTGACAAGATTGGAACTGCTTCCCTCAGTATAGCAGAATGGACCACACCGGGATCAGGAGGAGATTCCATGTCTAGGTGCTGGAGTTTCTGATACACTGAGAAGCGCTTAGGTTCAATTCTGAGTCCTATTGAGTTGAAGATTTAGCTAGGGTCGATATATTCAGTGTGCGACGGTTGAAATGTCTGGAAAAACTGTTCTGCCAGAAGGTTGGCGGAGTTCGTTGGGCCATCAGTACCTAAAATTTGTAAACATTTAGATTTGGGTTGTCGAATAGAGGCTGAATTACGGAATAGGCTTCACAGACTGGAGACAAAGTTATCGATAAGCTTTATCAGATCCTGAAGCCTTTCTTCCCTCAATACCTTTGTGAATTGGTTCCTTACTTGTTTGAATTGCCTGTTGTTGCTAGTTCGTTTGCATTAGTATTTTTTGCGACTTGACAAGCAAAGGTTACGATTTCTTACGACTTTAAGTTGTTTTTAATTTTTGGTGACCGGTCTCAGAACACACCAAAAATTATATGCAGTAAGAAATCCTAATGCGCATCCATATCATGATGGGACTGAACTTCCCAGCCCACCTGCTTAAGATTGTCCTGTAAAACTGGAATATCCAACTGTCTGAAATTCTTGGGTCTGTCGTTGTTAGGATGCCTAAATTCAATTCTTCCTGATAGATTTAGTTGAATGCTTGTTCTTTAAAGTCTACTTCTGGGTGGTACGGGATTTTTCTTGATGATGAAAATTTATTTTGCTTGTTGTGTCCCTTCCGTAACTAAATGGCAAGATGAGAACAATCACACCCAGCAGTTGCAGAACTTATATAAATGTCGAGCCTTCTTTAGGAAAGCCCTGTAGAAGGTATAATAACATTTGGTTTAAAAAATGAGCTTTGTATTCTAAGACTGCCGGCCATAAAAACGTTGGCTTGGATTTTTGGTCTGGTTCATTTAAGTTCTAGCCTCAATGGTCTCCCTATTAATTGTAATTTGTTAATGAAACGAAGCGTCGATCTACTAAAATAATATGCTATATCATTATGACGTTATTCTCATTTTTTGTTTTGAACAAGTTGCAAGTTTATAGTTTCCAGAAGAGCTGGTTAGGGTTTGTCTTTTACTCCATGTATCTTCTTTATGTACGTGTTCCAAGAGAGTTGTATCCTTCCTCAGGTAAGCGAACTAGATGAATGAGCCTTTCAGATTAATTCTTAGTTAAACACTGAAAAAAATTTGGAATATTTTCAGAGGTTGACCATAGAATATTCTGTCACCTTAAACTTCGAAATCCATAAACGCCCTCGAAAATTAATGGTTTTAAAATGAAAAGAAACAGATGAGTACTTAAGAAGTTTTTCACTTATATGTTGGTGCCTCAAATAAAATGTTTCTGATCCTAATATTATGTCTGTTCTAAAGCAATTTGAGTCCGCAGGGAGATTGTGAGAGAAGGTTCAGATGGTGATAAATATATTAACAAATCCCTGCTCGTAACGAAGACCCTTGTTTGTTAATAACGAATTATCGTTGCTTTTCTGTAGGGACGAAGATATAATGAACAAGAAGGAACAATGAAACTAGCTGATAATAGGAAAAGTATTTAAGGGGTCTCTATAGTTATTACTCCGTGACCACCTAATTAATTATGAATTAGTTTCTCCGTTCAGTTTAAGAAAAATGAAAGCAAGAATTATACCTGTATGGTCAGTGAAATGATACTGGGTTCTAGCCAGATCATTCGGTAGTCGAGTCAATAAATGTCAAGCAGTCCATCGGTCTTTGTCAAGTTCAATTGCAACCAATGCGCATCAGTTAACCGTACATCATGGACTGACCCATGTGGTGGTGGTCGAAATCTCTTCCTTGTACCCACTTTTACTAATATATTTTTGTAATGACTTCCTTTGTGTCATACGATCCTCATAGTAGCTATAGTACCTTGATACGATGAAGGGGTAATTCATGTTAGGTGCAGACCGCAAGGTTTGACTTCGACGTTGACTTTTGGACACACCATTCCCATCTAACTCGAGTAGGCGCCCAATCATCTGGCACAGATGCTCTACGCCAGTCATATACATACCTTTTCCTTACGAATAGTGCTTCGGCGCAGACCCCAAAAAACAAAGTTCTAAAATCTGATCAGTAGGGTTTAATGTATTTGTAACAGCTTAGGTTGGTTGGTTAAGAGTTGACTCCAAACAACCAAGCATATGCCAAAACAGTATTGTTCAAGTATTCATTCACTTCCTTATTTTGTATAAGCGTTATATTCCCTATTATCTAATATTGAATGTTGAGAGCCTTTGTTTGTCTGAACAGATAATCCCAGGCTCCACTGTGACTGCGCGAGGATCGAAATAAAGACCTATTCACTACTTGTCTGGTTTCTTCTATCAATAGCACGAGGGTTACTGTGACACAACCAAGGCAATGCCGCGACCTTTCGTTCCCAAAAGTATGCGAAAGTTGATATATAATAACTTTCATTCTTTGTCTCATCCTGGCGCAAAAGCTTCAACAAAACTAATCAATGCCAGATATATATGGCCGAATTTACAGAAGGATGTACACAAATGGGTTAGAGAGCGTTCAGCATGCCAACAATCAAAGATTAATCGTCACACAAATTCACCCATAGGTGTTTTCTCGCAACCAGATGCACGTTTTGCCTATGTGCATATCGACTTGTTAGGTCCTTTACCACGTTCAAACGGTTTTAATTATCTTTTTACATGCATAGATCGATTTACCAGATTCCATATAGCCATACCGATAGCAAATATCACACCGGAAACAGTAGCCAAGGTTTTCATGCAGAACTGGGTAACCATTTTTGGTACACCCATAACAATAACGACTGATAGAGGAGCGCAATTCGAATCCGAACTATTTAATAACTTGGCTAAACTTCTAGGCTCCAATAGGATACGCTGCACTGCATATCATCCTCAGGCTAATGGGATGGTAGAACGTTTTCACCGTCAGCTAAAAACCGCCCTTATATCTCACTCAAACCCCAATCAGTGGACAGAATTCCTACCATTAGTTAGGTTGGGAATACCAACATCTGCCAAAACTGACGCACAGTGTTCAGCTGCGGAACTGGTTTTCGGAACAACTCTGAGACTACCCGGTGAATTTGTTAACCCTAATACTAACAGTCAAAAACTTAATTTAGAAAATTATGTAGATCAACTACGGGACCACATGTCTAAACTTAAGCCGATTAATACTCTTGAACAATCGCGCGCCATATATATACCTAAAGGCCTAAGCAATTACACGCACGTCTGGATAAGATGTAACAAAATAAAAGCACCACTCAGTCCTCCATTTGAAGGTCCTTTCAAAGTCGTCTCAAGAAAATCTAAATATTTCGTGATAGAAAAACATGGAAACACCGACACAGTAAGTATTGATAGGCTAAAGCCGGCTTATCTAGATCATGAACCACCATACGTGTTGTTAGATCGTTTAGCTGACAAATCCATTACGGAATCGAAATGTAAAAATAATAAATCTTTACAAATGACTAAAACGGTTCGCTGGGCACATCCAATTAGTCAGTCAAGGATGTTGACAGTTTCGGCTGCAGGATAAAATCTAACCACGTAGCTAATCAGACCCTGCATCTACTTAAAAATATTTTTTTTCCTCATTCCGCCTTACCTACAACTCCCCAGACCTTTTACCTTCGATATATAAGT